ACAAACTAATTGTGATACAGCCTCTAACGGGCTCACTGTACCAGTAAATAATGAGTTCTGGGTGCTCAGAGAAAAATCTATATCAGTGCCTCATAGACTGCCTTGGGACTCGCTTACAATTCTGCGAAGAAAAGCCAGTGATTAACAATCTGTTATGTCATGTTAGTACCATCAGGCTGGAAAAACATCTTTTATTTTGTACACTATTTTAATATCAAGAATGAGGTTAGTTTGACAATATTCTTCTGCCTCCAACTGCTCTTATATACCTTGGACAGGAGAAAAGCTGCTGCACTCTATTCTTATCATCATTAAAATTCAGGGATGTCACCAAGACCAGTATTATTTCTTACTACGAAGGCACTCTACACCTCATTAATAAACAACTGGCCAACTAAACTTGGACGACCTCTCAATATATATATATATATATATATGTGTGTGTGTGTGTGATAGTAAATCTGCACTAGACTCAGAATGCATCCCGCGATCATGCCGACCGCAGAAATCGCCATTTTCCTCATACGCAGGGACGGCAACGTCTAAAAAAAAAGCTAACACATCCCGCCACCGCTGAACTAGCGATATTCGATGATCGTTACATGCCCACCCTGACGTACTCTTCTGCCATCTAACGACAAAAGGGATGAAGTTGGTGTCCCAACTCGCACACTCCACTGCACTGCCGATCTAAATGCTGGCTGAAATACCACTCCACAGATCGTAGTGACATCTTCTCAATTAAAATTGGAAGGAACTAAGGAAAAAAAATGAAGGTGAAACGATCCTACCAACTTCGCCTATAAGAAACCAACTACCAAACACTTACATAACCTAATCGCGCATCACTGATCGACATAAGTGATCGAACCAGAATCAAAATCTACCACACGCCTCGTAGCTGAAGAGGTAACGTACGAGACTGCGGAGGACGACGTCGGCAGTTCGATACCCAGCTGATTCTTACAGTAGTATTAAGTTCTACAAATAAATGGAGGGCAGAAACGGGTTTGGTATTGTATGCTTTACCTAACTGATTTCTCTGCCCTCTAAAAAATATTACAGAGGGTCTAAGTGAATGGTATGGATGCCTAAGATAAGGGAAGGAGGGGGTTATGCAAAAATATATTCATGAGGGAGCAGCCAATGTGGTCCACCAAACACACATCATATCATTTCTAAGTCAACAATCTTTAACCAAAACCCACGTGTTCAAAGCACTTGAGTCGAAAAAGAAAAATTCCAGCCAAATAAATCAACAAATCTAACTGTCATCTACTGGGCTTGAGATTTTTGCAAGCAAATTCATAACAAACACCACACCCCAAACTTACAAGTTTTGTAACCTATCCCCTTGCTCAACACAGCAAACTCTCAAAATTAAGCATAAGCACAGAAAATATCCCGGCAGCTCCGGTCAATGTGCTTAATACTCACGTCGGTCATGGAAGCCCCTCATTCACTCTCTCCGAGGGTTGCAGAATCATCTCAAAGGGCACTGCTTGTCCCACCCGGGCCACTTACATTTTCAGGGCACATCTGGCCCCGGCCCCTTCCACTCCCCATCCATCTCCTGATGTCCAGTGTCTCAACGGACAGACTCCCCGAGTCCCTCAAAAGGGCTGTTTCTTGGACCTCTCTCCCTTTGTCCGTCTCTCTCACATACCCTACTACATGCCCACGCACTCCTATTGGTCCCCACACCCATGCCTGATTTGACACCAGTCCCCACTGGTTAGAATTAGGCTACTCCATTTACTGTCCGGTCCCTATAACCCTAGCTCTTTCTGCTCTCACGGCTCATTCATTGCCCTGATGATGGAGGCAGAATGGACCTCTGAAACGGTGGACATCTACCAGACTACACGGCGCAACAAACCAGAAGACAGCAATCTTCGGAGTGTAGAACATCAACTATTACCTGCATACAGGGGTAAGTCATAAACCGTTTCTTACAACAAAATCCAAAAGGCTGTTTCATAAAACTGGACAAGTAAACCTATCTGAACAATATCACACTTCCAGATTCCTTTTTGATCAACAATACCACCCTTGCCCCTACTCAACAAAAACCACTTCTACTACACTTTCAGTACCAGCAAGTACAAATCAAAACAACAAAATTCACCCATTTATGAGTTTAAAGTTTTTAGTGGCTGATTTTCTTTCTCCAGTGTTGTGCATCTGAGCAGAACATGTCTATAAACACTTTGTCATTCTATCTGTTGGCCTTTACCCCCAATTCACTGAGGACATCTGGCAGTAGCAGCAGCAGATCTTCAGAGCTGAGGTTGAAGTCACACTCTACCCAGCGCTGTTTCAGATTATGGACCACCAGGCCCAAGGCCTTCCCCCCTGCAAACATACAGATCAAGTGTCACTGCTCCCAATAAACATAAGACACACTGGAGAGACTTTCTATGAGCTCAACAGTAAAAACAAGGTTGCACACTGAGTTGTCAGTTTCATGCTCAGGTCCCATGGCAAAAAAAAAATGTCAAATTCTCTACTGGCAAGATGTCACGAAGCTACTGTCACTCATACAGCATGCTTTAATCAGTCAGATGTACTGACACAATTATACAGAAGCTAATCAGACACAGATTCTAACCTGGAAGACGAAAACAATATCCTACTTCTACGGAATTTAAAATTTGTGCTCCCAGAACCCTGTGCAGAGACATTTTGTCGCTTCTTCACATCCTTCAATGAAAATCCAATATAATATCACACTTCTTAATTAAACCATTCTAGCAATACTGCATGAGCACAAAGTGTGAAGTTTCTCCTCCTCCAGTTTTCTCCATTCTATAGTTTTATTTCTCTATCTGCATTTGCCTTTCAGATTTAAGAGAGAGAGAAAATGAAATGAAAACATACTGTACATTTAAGGGGTCTGATTTGATTGATTAAACTTTCTAGACTTGAAATGTATGAATCAATTTCTCACTACACATGCAATGACAGTCGGTCAGTTTCATGCCAATCACCTGGTACACCTCTTTCCTTCAGGACATTACCATTCAGTGGAAACCTGGGCACATTCCACTGCTCAAACTCACTCAGCAGGGCACTGTCCCCCCTGTACTTGAGCACCTCACATACCCATTCCTTTGTATCACGTGTTTTCCCTTTACTGTTGACAACCAGCAGCTGGTATGGCCTGCAGACAAACATAAGTGCAGTGTATCTGACAAACCTACAGCTAAAGTTAAGTAACTTAAAACACATTTCCATTACACAGATAAACTAGTTAATAATATGTATAATGGAAACCAAATCAACCTATGAATAGCATAAAATACAGAGGTGTCTGAACAGATACTATGCCATGCTGCTCACCCCACTCCATACAGATAAAGGGCTCAACATAAAGTTGAGGACAGTGATCACTTCCAGGGTGGATAATATGAAAATGGATCTGCTATTCCCACTGACCTCAGAGGTTTCACATGAGGCTTATCCCCACGATGCTCAACGACAAAGAATCCGAGATCTCTCTCATATGATGACAGCTTGACACGTGAATGGAAATTCATTACCTGTAAGCAACATAGTTTCAGAACTACGACCTTTTATAAAGTGTGTTATTTTGTGAAACTATATACCGGGTCTCCAATTTATGAGGTTACGGTCGTGCTTACATTGCGTTATCGGCCACTGCTGTTCAAAGTGACTTCCTTGTGCTTGCAGGCAAGTTTCACATCTCGTTAATATGTTTCAAAATACTCGACGAAGATCTTCTTGGGAAATTGTCGAATATTTTCTTTTTGTGATTTAAGGTAAAAACAATTAATGTAATAACATGTATTAGTGACGAGAAATATTCGTAGTTTGCTGTTACTAGCGGCACCGAAACTGACTCGCCCACGACTCACGCGTACAAGTCCCGCCTACGTCAACAGCAGCGGCCGATAACGCAATGTAAGCACGACCGTAACCTCATAAATTGGAGACTCGGTATAAGCTTCATAAGCTTAGGTCTCAATATGTTAATACTTGCTACAGAACTAAAAAACAGATAAGAAATAGTAATGACATAAGATTCCAAGCAACAATAACTATCTAACTAAGAAGATGGCTTACGAACATGAAGGTTCATCACCGAACTACACAAAGCCCTCCACTGGACCCTGTCCTGGGCCAACAAAATCCAGTTTCCTTCAACTCCTATCTCCCATAGATCCCGCCTGAGATTATCCTCCCATCTACGTCTAGGTCTGCCCAGCGGTCTCTTCTCCCCCAGGCTTCCCTACCAATACCCGGTGCACACCTCTTGAAACCATCCAAGCGTGCCACATGCCCTGCCCATCTCATTTTTCTTGACTTAATCACCCTGCCTCACTTGTTGAAAGAAACTGGGACACACACAGCAGCATCGTGGCCTCATACGCCCACACTTCCCAACAAGAAAGGAAAATAAGCCAAAAATAACGCAGATCCAAAAAGATTGGAATATCTGAAAATGCACATAAATTCCCTCAAATATGAAGTACAGAAGCGTCTGCAATACTATCAGTAATGAGTGTAGTGCACTGTAATTGCCATGATGCATGTAGCATTCGTCCCACGCTGTAGCCACGCGGTCTGAGGCATCATGCTTCAGACCGCTGGTTCGAGTCTCAGGGAAAGAAATTTCTCGAGATTTTCGACAGGTGCCAACCCAGCATCGTGAGGAAATTGGGGAGCTACAACGGGTAGCGTAATCCGGTCAGGAAAACTAGCAGTGGCTGGGGGTTCGTCGTGCTGACCACACGTCACCCTATATCTGGTTGGATGATCGTTCACCTCTGCTTAGGCATGTGAACGTGAGGCCAGCAGCCAGCTAGTTGGCTCTGGCTCTCAGAGGGCTGTTACGCCACGGATTATTATATGTAGCATTCCCCTACTATACGTACCACAAGCCAAAGCATGTGATGCAGTAACTTGATCTGAAACCACTGGACATCTCAAGTTTTGTTGATTCACTACAGATCAAACATGTGTACTAAAAATACTTTCATAATGGAATGGAAAAGTCTAAATTTCTTAAAATTCATATATGGAACTATCCACACTACATGCTGATAATGACACATGAAAGTGGGGAATTTATGAACATTTAATTACATTTAAATCAACAGAACAATCACAGAAATCGCTACATTTAAATAATTACTGAATTATTCACTGCCTGAATCATTTTCATAGACCAAACCTGTGAAGGAATCATTTCATACGTTTCTCCCCTAACCTAATCACTGAGTGTTGCATCAGAGTTAAAACAGTTTCCATGACTCCCAGTGAAGGTAAGAAAACACACCTCATCCTGAACTCTCAACAAGGCAACTAGCAGGGCCACAGGGTGCAGGTATTCAGCACGCTGCTGACTCCACACCCTGTCAAACTCGGCTACATCAGGATCAACTGGCAGCCCTGTGAACAAATAATAATCACACTTACAAGAATGTCATGACATACATGAAGTTATATTACACTTTTATATACACACACACGATCTTGTTTTATTTATTTTGTTTTTTATTTAACAACACTACAAACTGTACTGTACTGGCAGTAGAATGAAGATGGCAGTAGATGAGTACTTAACAATACATTCAGTTTACCTATGGGTGGGCCTAACCCTAGCGACAGCATAGTTTTCACCAGGTCCCCTGCAAGGTTTCCTTCCAGAATCCTACGCAGTTCAGACCAGATACGTTCTCCTGATATCCTGCCAAGCCCATCTGCATTGAGCCTGATAGCCTTCAGAGTCCTGTCATCATGGCAATCTGCATGCTCTGCAATGCGACCATAAAACCTATTTGGCAACATTAATGGCATTACATTAACACTTCACATTACATACCGGGTCTCCAATTTATGAGGTTACGGTCGTGCTTACATTGCGTTATCGGCCACTGCTGTTGACGTAGGCGGGACTTGTACGCGTGAGTCACGGGCGAGTCAGTTTCGGTGCCGCTAGTAACAGCGAACTACGAATATTTCTCGTCACTAATACATGTTATTACATTAATTGTTTTTACCTTAAATCACAAAAAGAAAATATTCGACAATTTCCCAAGAAGATCTTCGTCGAGTATTTTGAAACATGTTAACGAGATGTGAAACTTGCTTGCAAGCACAAGGAAGTCACTTTGAACATCTTTTGTTCCGGAGAATTTGACGTAAATACGTCTATACGGAAAGGAAGTTTATATATTGGCTTTATTCTTAATATTTCCTTTATATATCCTTTACAATTGAGATAAGTTTGATTAAGATATTGATTATTTAACCTGAATTAGTTACGCTTAAGATGGGTCTGTGGTAGCCGAATGTAAAGTAATGTAATGTAAGGTAATGTTTTATAGGCAACAACAATACCAAGTAAACACGACATTCCCTAGGTAACCATTGTTATCGGATCTTACACATTTTCCTGTAACTTTTTCGTTATACATTTTTGCCGAATGACCCTTCCTTATAGACGTATTTACGTCAAAAAGTCGCAGACGCAAAATAGACAATCAGGTAAATGAAGGTTTCTGGTGATTACTTTAACTCATACAGGCTTGCCATGGATATTGGTAAATTCAGAACAAAACATGACATACTCTTACCGGAAGTATCTCAATATTCTCAGAAAATCCTCTTGTATTCTACTGTTAGGGTCACCAACAAAAGCCACCCTCCTCTTCATAATGTCTTGGTAGCCACCAAAGTAGTCATACAAAGTTCCGTCCAGACCTGCAGCATAAACAAATCACAACTTGTGAGCCAATTGCAAAACAGCGATCAACAGCTTTGACTCTATGATAACTGTTCTGATCTACAGATATCATTCTTGCTAATTTCTTCATTCCCTGGACTACAGTGAAGGAAAACTGTGAGTACAGTGACTACTGCATTACAACTTGATCTCACAATCATTGCATTCCTATGTCACACACTGGACCTGGCACTCTTAATCCTGAAATCAGGGTCTCCTACCTGCAATGTGCTAACCCTAAGCAGACAATGACTAATCCTGACACAGCATCTGTCCAAGACCAAAGCATAAATCACTGACAAGAAGTACTGTTCTTTCATGTGGAGGAAACAATGTACTCGCTTCAACGCTTGCACTGCCTGACAAAATTATACCACATCAAGTTCCATAACACATGGAATTTTTATATATATATATATATAAACTCACAATGTGGCACTAGTACTGAAAAGGAAAGCTGCAGATTTGGGAGAAACAAAAAATCGTCAGATTACAAGAAACTCACTTACCAAGGAACATAGAATTTATGGTCAAGTCTCTTCTGCTGGCATCTAATTTCCAATCAGTGGTGAATTCCACATCAGCATGTCTGCCGTCTGTGACCACGTCAATTCGCAGTGTCGTCACCTGCAAGCAGACCACATGACTTCACTGTAGTTCTCTCAGCGCTAATTACTGCCTCACTTTACTTTCCAAACACACAAACACAAAATCAAGCAGGACAAACAGATCAAGAAATCAGCTGCATCCTGTCCATCACACACACAAAGTGGATTAATATTCGGACTTGCCGAGCATTCTGAATGCCTGATATATCAACAGTCTCACTTCCCCTTACTGAGGAATGCTAACCCAAATAAAGAATGCTGTTATATTTTTCAAGGTTCTAACAGATCTTCACATAAACAATGTGCACCTAACCTTAAGGTACAATTTGGCTGCACGCGACAGAGACAA